GAGGACAGACAGCCGGTGCGTTACCAATTACTTTTACTACAGCTTGAGTATCCCTTTTTCGTCCCCTTTCATACGTACATTCCTCGCTCCTACTCCACACTGAACTTCGCTAGTTGCGTAATGGACAATTCTCAACCAAACTTGGTAGTTCTATTAAACCACAGACCAACGTCGAAAATAATATTAACAAGTTATAAATTAGCAATATGTATGTTGAATTTAAGGGTCTCACAGCAGTGTCTTTCAAGATTAATGTTTTCTGGGATGTTACGCTGTGTAGAAATCCACCAACGTTTCGGAGAAAAAATTACCTCCACCTTTAGGGTCAAAGAATATACCAAGCAAAGAATCAGGCGGAATTCAGCTTCCTCTTACTGGTTTCTTCCTCTCTTACCCTTCGACCCTGAAGATAGGATTTGTTCCTTCGAACCTTTTGGATCTCTTAAAACTACACGGCGTAACAACAGAAAAGATTTTTCTCTTCATAGTCACCGTTGTGAGAATCTCGAGTCTTTTTCACAAAACAACCATTTTCCTTGCTTGTGATATAAATCCACGGTAAACTGTCCCTGTTCTAGAACTTGTAATTACCCAAGTTCGAATGAAACAATGGATGAAATGAAGGAAAGGAGGAAAGAATAGCGAAACAAACGAAAGAATAATTGACCATAAGCATACCTTATGGAAGACCAGTGGAGGACTCTTGTGAACACGGTAATGAACCATCGGTTTCCATAAAATTTTGTTAAATTCTTGAGTAACAGCAGAACTGGCGGTTTCATAGTAAGGACACGGTTCCCTGAAGTTAATTTTAGCTTATTCCATCTTCGAAATAGTGTTAGTCATTTCGTCTGATGCTGCCAGTTAACTGATACGAAAATACTCATATTTAAAACTAAAGTCCTTCGTCCTCCGGGCCTCTAAGACACTCCGTGGCCTTACGACAGATGTCCATTCTTCTGTATTATTTTCCTTTTGCATGAATTTCACCTCCGGCTCTCGTAAACCTTCCATAAATCTTCCAGCCATTTCACTCTATTCCAAGTAGCAAGATGGAACTTGCATTTCTGTATTTTCTGCGATATAGCTCTGTGTAGTCCACTGAAAATCAACAGACATTTAGGCGTAACGTGTCGCCTCCGAAACGTCAGCTGACTTTCAAAGGACTACGCAGATTTATATCCCAGAATATAAGGACTCTTCACGATCACCGCTGTGAGGACCTCAGGATCTACAAGATACAACTCATCCGCCATCCTTCGTTATGTATCTTAACATCTATTACTTACTAATATGAATATTATAGCCCCACGCACAACCCCCCAAGTTGGAGCGCGGTGGGATAACTTTCTTGTAGCTCACATTCAGACATCTGTAGCTTGGTTGACTCTACCAGGAGCTTACACTCCCGCTAGCGTAGTATTCCATGTTATCAGAGCACGCAAGCCTCTCCGCCATGTTAAGGTATTGGAGAGGGGGCAGGAACGGGTTAAGTAGTTACATATTTATTCCCACCCCCCCAGGAAGTCAGTAATAAACAATCGAACTGCGTGATTCTGAGAATGTTAGCAATCCTATGTTTATACCCTCCAGTGTGATCGCGTGCAGTGAAATATAGAAACATTTCCACTGCAGTGAGTTCGGCCTGTAATTTCGCAACCGTGTTCCCCTTTCCCCTCTCTGTACACGGAACTGAAGCCAAGCGCAACTTTCAATTACAGGGTCTCCTTGCCGCAACAATGTTCTTACACAAAACATTCGTCATTTGGTTTACATGATAATTACGGTTCCCTTATTTTTCTCTGATTTTAAGAGCGTTAATCTTTGACGCGAATCATTCTTGAAGCAAATTAAAAAGCTGTACAAGGTTTCGGTAAATTTACGCTTTCCTATAAATAGTAAGGTAGGATTTACATAAACATTTCAATGCTACACACGACATGACTCGTTTAGAACTACTAGTATTTCTGGTTTGCATAAATTTGAGGTTTGAGGTCACTAAAATTTATCACGCAGTCTCTGAGCAGTTCCAGTTAACTATTCGTGGTTCTTAAACAATAGAAATTATAAAGAGTACTATCATCCGGGATATGACGTCGTGTAGTCTGGTAGAACTCCATCGACACTTCGAAGTAACGTGCTGACAGCACCTGTTCACACTGGTTCCTCGCTCGCAAAAGAAAATGAAGCCTTGACTGTTTACCATACACTAACATTTTCCCGTCCCTTTCAACTCTGTATCAAACAGCGGCCTAAGTTGATAGAGCGGCGTAACATGACTAGAATCACACAATCAATTAATTTTCCTGCTTGCAATAGAACATTACAGTATACTACATCATGTGACCCTGTCTATATCCAGTTTAATCCAATCCACCTCGCTATGACTGAAAGTATGTCCATTTTTGTGATAGGACGATACTGTCACGGTTTAAGGGTGTTTGACTACAGACGGGATCTAAATTCTTGAATGGATTTATTGAACACTTATGCACACGACTCGGAACTAGAAGTAATAACAGCGCCACCGCTCATCTCCACAATTCACAAATCACCACAGCGCCCGCTAGGCTTTTTCCAGCCTATCTTTTCACCAGCCGTTCCCTAAGAACGGCTTCTAACAGTGGAGACTCTTCAGCTTCAAGCGTTCAGTTCATTTCTTCCTATACACCTTCCACTTCAGATGCAAATGTAGGCACATTTTGTTCTCTGTTTCTTGTCTCAAGATCCCCTGAAATAGCCACCGAAACCGATGCTTGGATGCGTGCGCAGTCTCCTGGGGAACGGGGTCAAGCTCGTGATACCAGGAACAGTTCTGTATATCGCCATTGATAACGGCCTCTGGATGAATTCTGACGAAACTACTGACATCTATGGAGCGATCCGTCGTTTCATGAAGAAGTTAATGCCATGCAGTTATCCAGGAACCTATGATTTCAGCAATGCTTAACCACGTCGCTGACATTCCCGAGTATAGATTTGTATTTCTTGTTGGACAGAAACAGTGTCCTTCATGTCATTAACGTTCTATATTATTGTAGCTCGTAGAGTCATTTCTATGCAACGACAGCGAGATAGGGAAAATAAACAGCGACCGTTTCTAGTTAACTGCTCGTTATACACGTTCCGGCAACAATGAATAAGCATGCAACAATAAAGGAACTATGTTTTCTAAGTGGTCCGTATCGATATGTTATAACTAGAATAGTTTAAACCTCCACCGTGACCCTGCGAGTGGTAGGAGGCGACGAAAAGGGAAGTCTCAAATCTGAGACAGTAAAATATGGTCGCGAGTCCCAAGGGACTCGGACCCGATAAAGACCGCGCTGGCCAGGACCAGCAGCATATACAAAAGACAGGCCCGTCCTGTTGTCAGAGAGGGCGCCCCATAAAAAAAGAGTAATAAATATCTGGTCATGAGCCCCAGATGGGGCTGGACACCAAGACTTACCGACAGACTGACTTTCAGTCGCAATGTGACTTTGAATTTGACTTTGACAATGAGTTCAGTTGACAGTTCAGTTGCGAGGTATCAGCTAGCAGGCAATCACGTAACAACAGAAGCTGAAGAATCACCATTGTTAAAGATCCGTTAGCAAGCAACGACGGGTGAGGACACTGAAGACTGGGGAAAACTTGGCGTGTAGTGATTTTAAAAATGTGGAGATCAGACATGTAATTATAGTTATTTGTAGTTTACGAACTGCAAGCGGTCAGTAAATCTGTTCACAAATGCATACCCCATCTGTACTCACTCATACACGTAACACTATATTTCTTTGGATTTCTTAAAAAGGGGAACAACATACAATCCACAGGTAAATCATAAGAAATTACTTCTTTATGTCAATTCAGAGTCATTATCTCGCGTATACGTGTCTTCTTTCTCGGGGAGCGAAATCAAAGTGAAACTCAACTCCACATGAAAAAGAAAAATGTTATAAAATGTACATTAATTTCATAACATGGGCTATTTCAGTTACTGGAGTTTTAACAAGGGATTCATCTCTGCCAGTAATAACCATTTAAAACTTTCTGAATTGCTTGTTTATATTATATCAGGAGTACGGAATATTGCTGAAAATGTTAGCCTCCTCGTCATACTCAGAATAGACTAGCCTGAACATTTCACACTTTTATTCCCTGACTGCCTTATTTACAAAATAACAGAGTATAGTAAATTTAGCCGGTCACGGTAGCCGAACGGTCTAAGGCATGTACTGTCTTCGCTCGCTTGGAAACCGGGATCGTGGGTTCGAATCCCACTAAGGGCATGGATGTTTAGTTTGTGTGTGTGCGTTTTTCTGTGTTTGTGTACAGGTAGAGGCTTTGCGACGAGCTGATCACCCGCCCAAGGAGTCCTACCGAATGTGTAAGATCTAGAAAAACTGAAGTGAACGGAGAGTTCATGGAGGTAGGCCTAGGCCCACTGGGGCTGTAGTACCAAGGGAAATAAAATAGTAAATTGAAGGATCGCATGTTTACATCTGAGAACAATACTTAACAGGAAAAGAAAGTTTCATTAAGAAGAATAATAATATAAATATACTGAGATCAATCATGTTCACGGGTTGTTGGACCATCTAGACGTGGGCAATGTTTCCAACGTTTCGGAAGCCTATTCTGTCTCTGTCTTCAGGATGGAAATGTGGAAGGCAATGTCTGTTTATTTATGGAGTCCAGTTTCAAAGAATAAATGTTAAGAGGAGGGTAAATGTGAAGATATGGTTTATTCACTCCATCTCCTGTTTTCTTCCAAATAGGAAGCTTCTTGCTACCTGCTTCATGCTGGTTTCTTGCTTGGCTTACACTTCAACCCTGAAGATGGAGGCAGTATGTTCCTCCAGAATGCTGGTTGACTGGTACCGGGCGACAAAGATTTTGTCAGTAATCCGCAGTCCCGTCACAGTGAAAACAAAACAAGGCTTCTGCTTTCCATAGATGCATAATTTTGTGATTATGTACACTTCAGTAGTATATTAATCATTAGCGTGACTTACCATTTCCGAGACCTTATGCCTTGCGCAGCCAACCGTCAAGCCTCAGTCGTAGGACGATTGCAAATGTGTTCATTTCCAGCTGATCCATAAATTCGCAGACTCCAGTTATAACTTAGTTTAACATAATTTTAATCGCTGTTCTTCCTTCAGAAGATGCCTGTAACAATTAACAAAGGAACTAATTAATGAACTGGGATACACAGTTTAATATAGTCCGCTTCTTAAAATGAAAACCTTAGAGATATTAATTGGTGCCACGGCCGATAACAATGGCCGTGCGGTCTAAGGCAAGAACTGTCTTCGCCTGCTCGAACACTGGGATTATGGTTTCGAACCTCACTCGAGGCATGGATGTTTGACTATTTTTGTTCTGTATTTGTGTTGTGCTGTGTATGTAGTGGCCTTACGACGGGATGATCCCCCATCCAAGGAATCGTACCGACTGTTTATGTGAGATTCAAATTTCAGAATTAATTCTGAATGGGCATAAAGGTAGGCCCTAATCCGTCGAAGAAGAAGAAGAAGAAGAAGATATATTAATTAATAAGGATATATTGGGCTCTCATTCGCAAATCCCAAAAACGGAAGTGTGAGTAAAGAAATCAAGCTATCTCTGTCTCTCTCGAGACGACAAACAGATACTCACCACAATAATGTTTCTATTCGTAAATCTTGTAACTAGAAAGAAACGTGTGTGCCTGTTTATTTGTTTCCGTTTACATGTGACACATATTTTGACCTAATCCGACATTATGAAAGAGGGCCTGCCTAGTGGGGTTCAAGGCTCTTGAAACGTCCCCGAAACACACACATAAGCACAAAATTTTGCAACCGCTCCCCCCGTAAAAATTATGGGTATTACTGTTATTCCTAGTGTACTGACACTTCCGGCGTTCGACAGAGGTCAGAAACAAAGACCTTCACCTACTCTATATGAATGTCTGTTACAATTTTTTACATTTCTATTTTTCCCCCAAAAAAAAAAGAATTTGCAAAAAGTCGAGATTATGTTTATGAACCTTAGGTTCATAATGTAACATGTATATCCACTGAGAGACTAGTGCGGAGTACAGTGCAGTGCAGTGCAGTGCAGTTGCGACTTCTACACGGTTCAAGAGAAGATTATAAGAGTAGCGAAGATAACGGACTGACAGACAGAATCCAACAGCAGAGTTCAGGAGTCTACAAGCGAAAATTATAATTGAAATGCTGAAGAATTTATTTTATGTGTTGTTTTTGTAATACGTAAATTAGACTGTTATAATTCTTTGTAGTTACGATTGGTAGTTACCCAGGAAATCGATTGTCAATCGCAACCCGCGTCTTAGTCACTAATACATGTGGCAATTGCAATAGGCGTCTCTTTGCATGCGCTTACTAACAGGAGTCCTTGCAGTCGAGCTGTGGCTTCTAAAGAACAGAAATTATACATTATCACGGAAATAGACGAACAAGGGAAGGTTTTACGTATTATTTTACAGCATAAAACCATAGACAACGTCAATTCAAGTGAAAATATGAATTAAATTGGGGAAATACTGGCGTCCCCTGTGCACGTATGAAAAGAATAGATCCATTCTTACCAAATTGAAGGCATATATTAAAAACGTTTCCTATCCCTTACGATAGTCATAACCATTTCATAACTATCCTACCTCATTTCCTAGTACAATCTGCTTTTCTTCCCCCAACCCCACTGAAGCCATCACGTCTCTAGCTGAACGTTGAAACTAAGTCAATTTGGTTCCCGAACTGAACAAACCTCGTCTGCTTTAACTTCTAAGAAGAGAGCAGAGCTGGCGGACGGGAAGAGCAGTCCGAAGTGAAGACATTCTAATATTAAAGATCTGAACCGTATAAGTCGCGCAAGAAATCAGGCCTAAAGTTGATGCGATTATTGTGTTCCATTTTACTACCATAAAGCCCGTTTGAATTGCATTTCAGTTATCAACACACTTAGCGACGCTTTGTTTCACTATGATCCACTCGTGTATATTGTGGCATGTAGTCACGTTGTTAGGTAAGGACCGCGAAAGAAGCAACCATTGCTAAGTAACGGCTTCGCAAAAAAGCATCTTTCCTCGGCAACTCTGTGCGGTACGTGCAGTTACTGAGAGTCAGTGTAAATAAAGCGGTACAAGTAAAGGTAAATTTGTACTTCTACTTAATTAATTAATTAATTCTACTTAATTAATAAGCACTATGCCATGAAGGGTAGCGTAGTTGGTTGAGGCACTATACTACAAGCCGGAGAGTCGCGGGTTAGAGTCCCGATGAAGTGATTTTTTTTTAGTCTACCTAATCCTTCCAGCCACACTATGGCCCTGGTTCGACCCAGCCTCTAACAGAAACGAGTACCAGGCATATTTCTGGGTGTTAAAAGGCGGCCGGCGGGTAAGGCTGGAAGGCTGCGAGCCTATTGTCTAGACAAAATGTGGGAGCTTCACCGTCTCATAACCCTATGGTCCTCCACGGCCTCTTGCAAGGTAACTTTATCTTTACCTTTGCTATGAAGACATATGATGGAGTGGAGGTATAGCTCCACTATTCTTGGTCTCGGTACGAGATTAATATTTATCTTGTTATATAATACTTTCAATTTTTAATTTTTATATAATCTGAACTTTTGTATTTTTTACATAAGCACTTTTAAAATTGTACCATTAATAGTGTTATATCCATTTTATGATTGCAGTTAAATGGTATATTTTTGTTGATATGTATTTGCCTGATGATGGCCGTTAGCGGCTGAAACATGTAGCAAAGCCACAGCTGAACGCTGACTTTGATGTTTTATTATTTGTTGTGTTGTGACGGTTTATTAAAGAGTTAAAAACACTACATTAAGTCGCTATATGGTCTCGCTACAGAAAGCTTCATTATATAACATGAATTATAATAAAAATCGCAACATCAATACACTATTAACAGTAAACATTTCTTTTCACTTTTGCTTATTTAACGTCGCTGTGTGAACTACATAATATATAAATATTTGGAACACTGTAAAATATTGTGACGTGAATACCCATTGTTAAGCAACGACTCAGTGAACACATTCCTGCGGAGCCAAAGCGCGCAACAATAGGAGGTCCATTGCTATCCAGCGGACCACTCAACACGCCTCCTTAACAATAGAGTCTGTGTTTTCCTTTTTTTCCTGTTTTTCACACGGAGTTACGGACAGTCTTGTAGATAAAAACGACTATCAGATCATTCCCTTATTTTATGCATATCATGAAACAACGCACAAAAGAATGGAAGATGCACATCCGTAACTTAGAGACAAGGACAAAAGTAGCCTGCCCTATAACATTCTTCCCTTTGTGATAACATTTTAATTCCGAATTCAGTTTGAAATTGAGTCCCGCCACATATGAAATGAGTTTAACAATATGCTTGTACCGTTTTGCCGCCTTTTTTATTATGTTTCCGTGATGTTGTTACTGTAAATACCGCCCCATTTATACTTTTAAATGAAATAACCGCATTCAGTAACCAGGCAAAACTCCCCTTTAAAACAAAAATGTAAAGCGATGTGGAAGTGTAAAACACTTCAGTTCCACGTACTAAGTTGGTACACTGTTCTCTAGTGTCTTATTTTTCTGGGGGGGAAATATACGATAGTTTTAAGTACCTTCTGTGGCTAGAATGAGAGAATTTCTTGGAGAATGACGTCATTAACAATTTTAATAACATACAACGTGACGTTAGCAACGACCCAACTGGGGGTATTCGGTTTATTAAACTGAAACGGTCTACAATGGTTTCTGATTTAATAAAATGCTTTCTGTGCCACTGAATTTGCAACAAAAGTTTCAATGAAACAAGTTTTTGTCCCGATGAGAATTTCCAAACACTCCCGTGTCTCTCATTACAATGAAACAGTCGGAAATGCATCTCTCTTTCATTCTGAACGCTGATGTTGTTTCGTAACCAAGACGTAAGAAGTTCGAACATGGAACCGGATATGGGCTAACATAACTGAGGCTGTTAGAACTAACTCCGTCATAACTGGTAGTTCAGAACAACTGGTGTGTATTCTACTGGTAGATATTCCATTATTTTACGAAACCCATAGCGTAGTGAGCTGAGGTACAAGCCGGAAGATCGCGTTTTATTTCTGATGAGGTCCTTAGCTTTTTCAATTGACCTAATCTTTCCAGCCGCACTATGGCCTTGGAATCGACTCAGCCCCTAACAGAAATGAGTACCAGGAATATTCCTTGGGGAAAAGGACGGCCGGCGAGTAAGGCTGACAACCTCACTGCCACCTGTGAGCTCGGCAGACATGTTCCCTCAGCAACGAATATAAGCAACAATAGAATAATTAGTTACTATAGGATTCTGACGATGGTGTATAACACACTGATATGTTGGGATTTTGGACTTTATCCATCGTCCTGGTTTTTAAGATAACAAATAAAAACACGACGTTTCGG